GTAACCCTAATTATAACCTTAATCCTAATCTCAATCCTACCTTTAGCAATAGTGTTAAAATGATTCCCCCTGCTGGTGTCAGCAGAGGAATTCCCTTGCTATATTCAGCAAGGGATGCCCGTGCTATCCCTAATCTGCACCATAATCTGAATCCTAATCTGAAACATAATCCCAATACTACAATTAATTATAAACCTAATCTTAAACATAAACTTAATAATAAACTCAATAATAAACATGATAATAAATCTAGTACTTATTCTAAACCGAAAAATAATCCTTAATTGTAATCCTTAATTTAATCTTACTCAGCTGCAGTGTTCTTTGCGGATTTAAAGGGCTACATGCAGTGCTGACATTCATCACTGCATGCAGCTCATCAAAAAGTCTGGGGCCACTAAAAATGGCCCCAACTGACAGAGGGACCCCCAGGTTTCTAATGATACCTGGGTTTCCTAGTGTGAGCAGGGATTTAACCCTGCTCACACTGCATTGTGCTCTATGGGGATTTAAATCCCCATTTAAACAGCTGCATGCCAATTTCACTTTGATCTCTGCATGCAGCTCATCAAAAAGCCTGGGGCCAATAAAAATGGTCCCAGCTGACAGAGGGGACCCCCAGGTTTCTAATGATACCTGGGTTTCCTAGTGTGAGCAGGGATTTAACCCTGCTCACACTGCATTGTGCTCTATCGGGATTTAAATCCCCATTTAAACAGCTGCATGCCGATTTCACTTTGATCTCTGCATGCAGCTCAGCTGTCAGTCTGGGGACATTAAAAAAGACCCCAGCTGACAGAGGGGAGACCCAGGTTTCTAATGATACCTGGGTTTCCTGGTGTGAGCAGGGATTTAACCTTGCTTACACCACAATCTAGATATAGGCATTTAAATGCCTATATAAGCAGATACAGCACTGCATGTAGCTCATCAAAAAGGCTGGGGTCACTAAAAATGTTCCCAGCTGATAGAGGGGAGCCCCAGGTTTCCATTGATACCTGAAACTCCCTTGTGTGAGCAGGGATTTATCCCTGAACACACCAAATTGTAATAGTGGGGATTTAAATCCCCATTTAAATGCTTGTTTGCGGCGCTCACTTTGTGCTCTGCAAATAGAGCATCAGTCAGTCTGGGGCCACTAATTCTGGCCCCAGGTGATAGACGGGAGCCCCAGGAATCAAATGATACCTGGGGCTCATAGTTACCAGCAAGGTAATAGACCCTGCTGGAAAAATAATTTCCGTCAGGTGTCCTTAAGGGTAGGACCAGCATGACGGAAAATTTACGTCATGCGTCCTTAAGGGGTTAATTATCTCTTAGGCACAAAAAATCCACAAAACACCCTGTAGCCCAAAAGTCCCCCAGCCATACCTAGAAACCACCCAAAAAGCACATCCCCTGATAGCCCTGATCTGAGTGACCAACATATCCAAGAATCACTCAGATCAGTTCGGTAGAACGGGAATGCCATTGTGTGGAAGTTTTTAACGCCCAGACAAGAGATGCTAGGCCAAAATAGTTCCAGGGAAATATGTGTCTTGGCCGGTCTCCGTTTGTGGGGCTCCCGTGCAAAAACCATACAAGGGAATCTCTCGCTTTCAGGGTACTAATGCTCCCCCTGTTCGGTAGTTTATATCTCCCGAACCCCGTTTGTGTAGGTGGTCGGGAGCAGGAACGGGCAATGGTTAACAGTTTACTGGTGTTCACGCGAGTGCTTAGCCGGAAATAGTTCCAGGTACTCGATGACTAAGTACCGCTGCCTTCGTTCGGGAGAGAAGATGGCCGCCATTCCCTCAGCTATGTGTTTGGTTACACAAAATGGCAGCCACCCAGGAGAAGCAATCATTGTTTCCCTTGCGGTTTCGCACTTAAGGGGTTGGTGTTAACGTTCTAATGGGGCACAGGGATGGTCCTTGTTCAGGAGACAAATAGTTTCCGTTCGTATGAAGTCTCCCGAACGGCCAAAGAACAACCACACGAAAAAACCTGGGAAAAATACACGAAGTAACAGGGGGGAGATACGGACAGCCAATATAGGGGATAAAAAGTAGCTTGCAAATGTCCATTCCGCTACAGATCATATAACTGTCACATGGACTGCCTCAAGCCATTAAAGAAATTAACACTATTATTATTATTGGTATTTATATTGTTATGAGCAAATGCAAATATTACAAGTTTTATAATGAAAAGTTGTATTTCTTAAACTGTGTACTCTGTCTTTAAGAGATTTTGCAAACCTAGAAGTTATTAGAAATGGAACATATTGTTTTTCATACAATGTTTCTTTAATAAATGACATCATACCCATATGGACGCCATCTTGTCCTACGTTAGTGTAATTCCCCACGTCAGGGAATTTCCCACGTTATGTGCACACTTACGTTTTAGTCTAAACATAGATAAGATGTTCCCATGTGAAATGACCAAGTTATGGCCTTGTATCTTTGCCAAGTTAAGGTAGGTCCTAAAATGACCTAATTGAACATCCAAAGTATAAATATGTGTACGTATTACTATTAAGACACACAGGAGGAGATTTTGGAGACAGAGACACTGCTCCATTTTATCATGACTGATAGAGGTTGACATGTTCAGGAGGGTATGTTACTCTATTTACTGATATTGCAAGCAAATTATTGTAATGGATGTTATATGTCTATATTTATATATTTATTTAATAAAATATTTAAAAAAAACAAAAAACTTTATTGCTTCTAAGACAATCCCTATTTTAAATTGTATTCTCAATTATTTATATATTTTAAATAGAGCAACTCTTACTAACTATATAACATTATGGTAAGATATCTGTATGGTTAGCCTTTCTAAGTTCTATGCTTTAAGACGTTATAGTGGTAAATATGGGAACTGGCTGCGGTTACAATATAGCGCCAACTTATTCCGCAACGCTTACTAGAAATGTATTCATCACTTCCTTAGAAAAAAAAAAAGAGAGTTGAAAATAATTGATGATTCTACATTAGAAACGTTCAAGCAGTATTTGAATCACAACCCATATAATTTACAGTTCACCTTTAATCAGTCACAGGAGCATGTGGAATTTCTACAATTGGACATCTATATAAAAGATAACATGATCCACACCAAAGCATTCAAGAAGTCGGTAGACTGTAATAGTTTCATCCCAGCTAACAGCTACCATAAAAAAACTTGCCTGGATAATATTTATTTTTTTAGGTTTTTTTTTTTATGTACTTAAATGTATCTATTTTTTCCCTTTTTTTCTATGTTTGTCTGTGAGGTGCTGTGTGTGTGTGTGAAGGGTGTAGTGTGTGAAGGATGTAGTGTATGTGTGTGAGAGGGCTTTGTGTGTGGGTACAGTGTGTGTCTTAGAGGTGCTGTGTGTGTGAGGGGTGCAGTGTGCGAGGAGGCGGTGTGTGTGTTTATGAGGAAGGCAGTGTGTGAGGAAGGCAATGAGTGTGTTTGTGAGGGGTGTAGTGTGTGTGAGGAGGCAGTGTGTGTGTGTGGGGGGGTGTAGTGTGTGTGAAGTGGAAGTCTGTGTGGGAGCAGTGTAAGTTTGTGTGTGAAGGGTGCATAGGGTCTATGCTGTGTGTAGGTGGGTGAGATGTGAAAATCTATCTTAATGTCTTCACCTCCCTTCTTCTTACCTTTTACCAGGGAGGGGGGACATAATGCTGCAAGCTCTGGTGGTCCAGTGATGGAATGTTCACTTTAGCGTGCAGCTTCTCTGTCTGCAGACTGACTCTCCTGTCCACCTGCGAGCACAGCACTGTACCGGAGTGTTGCCATGGTAACGCGTGGCAACGTTCCGACCAGCCTGCTCGCACGAGGAACACAGAGCATGCCAGGCCCCTCCCTCCCTCTGCTGGAACTAAATGCTTTCATTTCCTCACCAAGGCTTGCTCTGCATGGGCTGGCAGGGGAGATGAAATGATCTCCACTGCCGGCCTTGGTCCACAGCCATCGAGGCCCACTGGGCGCTTTCTGCAGAACCCACCACCGCCCACCTGAAATCCCAAACCGCCCACTAGTGGGCAGTAGGGACCAGGTTGACTACCTATGGTTTAGACAATAATCCCCTAATAAGTGGAATTTTGTTGGGTTTCTTTATTGCATTTTTATTATCTGCATTCGTGTCCACCCGTGCAAGAAAGTAGGGGATTCTAAAGTCATATGCATAGATTTAGCCTTAGAGTTTCTAGGCTAGATCCATATGGCTATTTCCAATTTAGAATTTTTAAAGTTTAAGTATTTTGTACGTTTTTTAGTTTATTTCATTTATGTCTACCACAAGTGGGAACTTTCTGGGATATTAAGTAATACATTTATTGTATATAGCTATCTTTACGGTGATGTCCTAGTATGTGTAGGATATTCTATTCCTATCTGTATTTACTAACTGGAAGAGGTCCTGCAAACCATGCATTTAGCATCTCCATGCACCGCATGGAGAAGCAGAACATTTCCCATTGTGTCACTGCATCTCTATTTGAAGATTCTGATTGGTTCAGTGTTTTGCTTGCATGTGCACTCGCCTCCTACAGATTTCAGAGATAATCACAATTAAAATCTCAGCAAATGAGGCAGGACGAGCAGCACTGAGAGCAGTGTGCCAGCATAAATAATGCAAGTTAAAGGCTTTTTAATTTTTTTTTTAATTTAGAACACCTTGGAAGAGAGCACTAATTTAAATGGTGATAAGAACAATATATTAGAAATATTTTTTTTGTATTTCTAATGCCATAGTGTTCCTTTAACAAAATATCTGGAAGCTTGATATTGTATAAAGTCATGTCACACAGGCAGTGCTATTTAGCCAACTCTGGATTTTTAGCACAGTAAATCCAAATATTAATACTGGTGAGCATAGAGCAAAGCCACGACAATAGATGACCTGGAAATGTTTTCAAAATCCATTTAAATGAGTAGGGGTGGGAGAGATTACAAGAAAAAAAAAGTAATAGTATCGCATTACTTATCTGAATAAAAATATTTTGACTTGAAATGAATATTTATGCCAGTTGCATTTTGTCTGATATAGTTAAGCATGTGAGAATTAGGTTTACTGATTGCTTGATATCCCCTCTTACATGAAGTGGGTTTCTAAGGATTTTTTTACAAGGCTGAATACTAGTGCTAAACAATATGTCTTGGGAATAGAGTCCCACAGGAGTTCGGCTCCCGTGTGTGAGTTCTGCACAATGAGAGGAATGCAGTCAGACCCCGAAATTAAACATTTGCCAGTGAGGCCATGGTGAGGGGGCAGCTATAGGTAAAAGCAAACCATACAGAGCGTTAACCAGTCAGAATGACAGCACGCTGCCAGACACAGAGCCAGTCTGAATAGTAACCTATTACACTATACACTGCCTGCACAGCCGCCATCCAACAGCCACACCAACTCACACACTGCAGCGACGCACAAACGTATCGCGTCATTGTCCACGTAAACACGTCGCCAGTTACGTAATGTTACGCAGTTGCTTAGCAACCAGGACGGCTTCCCACCAGCTCCCCTGACTGTGAACATATTGGATGGTTTCAGGCCGCCCGGAGCCTTCAGACTGAGGGGGAGTGGGAGAAACTAGAGAGCGAGCAAACTCCGAGCGTCAGGTAACGCGGGGCAGGGCGGCAGGTTTACCGGTATAGGTAGTACATGGCATATCACGGGGAGCAGGAGGAGCGATAGTACAGCGAGTTTGGTGGGAGAAGGCGATATAATGGGAAACGGAGCCTCGACTTAACGGCTTTATTGTAACCCCTACAACCCGCTTTAAATGGCTTACTGCGGAGCTGTCCCCCACACCCCCACCTTCCCCCGCATGTCTTTATTTTATTAAATCATTTGAAATAATGTAAATGTACCAGGAAAGGGTTAGCATGGTCTCCGGCTTGAGCACCAACGCCAAACCTGCTAAAGCATTTGTCCAATCACCGGTATGCAGGGGCTCTGTGAGCCAGCCTCCAGGAGTACTCCTGCCAACTCTTTACTTCTTCCACTGCCCTCAGCCAGTAACCTGATAAAGTGTTAAAGGAATACTGTAATGTCAGGAATACAAACATGTATTCGTCACACTATAGTGTCCGTCTCCAATTACCTATAGGTTTGCTTCCCCATCGGTGATTGAAGGGTTAAAAATCCCTTATTCTCTTACCTCTTTCCAGCGCCGAGGTCCCTCGGCTTAGTCTCATCCGACGTCCGCACGATGGGGGGAACCTAAGGTACATGTGCAGCTAGTGCCATGCACACATTAGTCCTTCCCCATAGGAAAGCACTGAATCAATGCTTTCCTCTGGGGATTGGCAAGAGCTGAACGTCATTATGCACAGGACATCCAGCATTGTTTCACGGAGTTAAACTCTGTGAAATTCTGGAAGACAGCCACAAGAGGCTTTTTAGGGTTACTACAATATAAACATTCCAGGATTAAGGGGACAGGGACACTGCACTAAGAGCACTTCAATGAGATAAAGTGGTCTGGGTGCCTATAAGGTGCTTTGAAATAGATTTTTTTGCATATATCCCCAAACACCGTACAAGACTTAGTGAAAGGGAAGAGCAGTGCATGTTTTATTGAAGGTGATATCAGTCTATAGAGGGAAGTATAAGGGGAGAATAAAACATAGTCAATGACAGACTTGAGATAGCAACCGATAATAGAGTCGATTAAATTTCACCCATCCCTGGAGCTAGAATGTTTGAGCAGCACTAACAGAATTAGTGTCACGCTGTAATGATTGAATAAAACTTACAAACAAAGCAACTCTACAAACTAAAACAGATTTCAGAATATAACATACCGCACTGTATTAAGCCTTTATATGCCTACATAGTCTTTTAGTGTCACAGTAAACTTACCTTGAATCCAGCACCGGAGCAAGTTCTCCGAGAACCACTCCCACTTATCTCAATGTCACACCTTGTTTCTGGTTCCCTATCCCTAATCAAATGTTTATCATAAAGAAGCATTGTTGGACCTTGGATGCAAGTGTGGTGAGTGCACCAATCAGCTAATTCTGATAGAGATAAATTAAATTCACTGTTTTTTTTTATGAGGTGTAGGGAACAGTGCATGCGCTCTGTGTGAGCAGTAATGAGCGGATAGATAAGCTGAGTGACAGCTCATCTCATTGCTAAAGCCTGCTCACCTCTTAATCGTGCTCAATCAGAAAAGGGGGGGACCTTTACAGAGGGTTGTGTAGATTGTTGGACAAGGAAAGGGAATTACCCAAAGTACTATAAATTATACTCTAAAGAGGTGGGGGGAGCAAGGAAGGCTGGCATAAGGGCGGTATTATGGGCTGAATGGAGGGGAAAAGTTTACTTTGAGCCAGTGACTTACAGCCTTCTCCTTGCAGTTGCGCTCACAGTGCTGCCTCCAAGCACAGAGGCTCATTACGTCTGTCGCCAGTGCACTGTGCTCACTTTGCACAGAATTCCGATTTAGTCAGTCCAGAATGGGTTACATCAGGTTTACTAACTTCTCTTTATAGGCAGTATTTTCTATTTTTATTTTTTTTTGTCAGTCTTTATTTTATAGTGCTTTGCATAACAGACACGTATTTGTAGACATTTTTCAAGAATATGAGTAACATTAAACAATGTAGGTATGGCATGAAAAGTCAAGAAAACTGCACTTTTTTATGCTGTGTTAAAGGCTTCAGAAATACAATTCTAGTAGAGTGAACATAGATAAGAAAACTGCAGCCTAGAACTGTAGGTCGCAACAAAGGTACATACCACTGAGTGATTAGAGTTAACTATGGCAGGTTCACAAGTGGGTCGTATGCTGAGTCTAGTAGAGCAGCATTTCCTAATTGGTGTTCCGCCAAAATTTCATGAAACAAAATGGCTGCGGATGGCGAGGGAGCACTCTAGCCGCTCAGCCCCACCGGACCCCAGGGACTTCTAGTCAGCCGCTCAGCCCAGCAGCCCCACTAGATCCCAGGGACTGCACGCCAGCTGCTCAACCCACACACACCTTGACACACAGACACACACCGATACATACAAAAATTGGGGGGGTTCAATGATGTTGATACACTATGTCAGAGGGTTCCACAGGAAAAATTAATTGGGAACCCCTGTACTACAGTATTCATAAAAAAGATGTCTGGGTCCGACCTCCCTAGCAGCTGAGCACTAGACAAATATTCAAATATGCAAGGTAAATTTCACAAACATGGTGAGACACTATTTCTGAAAAATTTTGCCAGCATTAGTTTACATATGGTTAAAGTTAATTCACTTTAGGCACATAGCCAGAATGAATACGACCATGGCATACAGACGAACAGAACAAAAATAAGCACTAGAGGACAGTAATGCATAGTTCCCACCAGTAGTGCATAAATCATATAGGTAAACTAAACAGAAAATTAGAGCTCAGCAGAAATTAAAACAGGGGCAACTAAATGAGAGGTAATGTCGGCCAGATGTGTGAAATTGGCCGTAAACCCAGGATGGAAAGTTCTGCATCAACCAACTCCAAGACTCTGGAATATGGATGCGAACCGGAGTTGATACAAGAAGGCAGCGAAACATGGTGTCCCTCCAGCCCCAGGCCGTGTTGAGGGCCAGCATTGCTGTACCACAGAGTTGGAGTCTCGCAGCGGAATCCAAGTCCTTCCCCATTGGGATGCGGCAAAAGCTCCTAATGGTCAGTCTCCACCTGCGGCGTAGGATCTTCTGCCTCTGTAGTGGATATAGTGAGAAAATATCCCTGATGGTTATCAGCCTAGGTGGGCGAAAATTGGGAGACATAGTAGCGTGGGAGGAAAATTGTACCTTGAGAGGGCTCACGTGCCTCACATCCCCCTCCTCTCCATTCAGTCTTTCAGCACTGAGCCTGTGTGGCTGCCACTCGAGCCTCCAGTTGTGCCCAAAAGCAGGCAAAGATTTCATCTAGGCATGTTGTCAGCATTCTCTCCAGCACGGCATGCCCAGCTGGCACAGATAGCTGCATCGGATGTTCAGAAGATGAAGGCGAGTCAGCCATTTAGAAGGAGAGTGCTTTGATCTGAGCCCGTGAACTTTCAGCCGCTTGTGGTCGGCTAAGGTGAGTAGAGCTGCTCAGTGAGGACCGATAGGCAGTATTTTAAGCTGCACATACAGACTCCATAAAGCAAGACCAAGTGTAAATGTGGTTATAGTGGTTGGAGTAACCCTTTTAATCACCTTGGTGGCAAATAGGCGAAGATGCTTATACAAGTCATGGTAAGGGCATAATGAGTAGATTCAGGGCAGGAATATGGACACGTCTATCAGTGTGCACATGTTAGTACCCTCACATTAGCATTTTGTATTCAGAGAGGTTAAATATCCTAAAACTAAGCATGGAACACCATGGAAAACAAATCCCCACCCTTGATAATACCCATCTGCAGACATCCCAACTTGCAAAAATGCATTTCGGGGAGGTGGCTTCACCAGCTTCATTGCCACCCACCCCCATGCACGTGCTCACCCTCCCCCCACACAGTCACACACAGCCCACAAACATGTATGAACACCTTGACACAGAAATATATATACACAGACACACACTGACACACATGCTTAGATACTAATACTTCCCTTACCTTTTGTGTCCCTTTACCCCATTCCCTAGAGCATTTGAGCTCATTTAGCAGGGCTCTCAACACCTCTGTTTCTGTGCGTCAAACTTGTCTGGTTACAATTACATGTTTGTTAGTCCACCCATTGTAAAACTCTATGGACTTTGGTGCTATATAAATATAATAATCATACACTGACAACCAGGCACACAAAAATACACACTGAAACATAGTTACACACTGGCACATGCACTGAGATATACACACACACAGTGGCACATACACACACTCACAGAGGAGCCACATGCAAAATGAGGGAGTCTCCCGGAACTACCTGGAGACTTGGGATGTTTGCATCTGTAGGTGTTTATGGTTGGGCTACTACCTATCTGACCTCACTATTTTGCAGCTGTCAATTACTTTTCACAAACATAACTTCTTTCTGCCTGCTGCATTTTAGTTTTGTATAAAAAAGGGACAGAAAACAATACTCAAACAATGAAAATTTACAAAAAGGAGAGATGTTACTTCATCCCGATTAGACAGCTGGACTTCCTCTGTGTTGCTTGTCAGAGTTCTAAAGTTGTGAACAAACGTACAATATTTCTAATAACTGCACTCTACGGGGTATTCGTTGAGATAAATAATGAACAGGAAAGTTCTCCATGATGTCTGAT